ACTTATAATGACGAGAGAGTCGGAGAGACGACCACTAAATTTGTCTAATAATATAAAATAGAAGTTTTATTGATTTTGTTCAGTTCACACACTTTATGCTACCCTTACTGTAGTAAACATTCAATAAGTCAATAATATCAATATATCCTCGCATAATATATTTTAATAATGCTTTTACTTGATTATAAAATTTAATTTTATTAATAGTGTATTAATTATAATAATAAAAATAGTGTAAAGATATTGAGAGTGTATAGCAATGCGCGCACTCTTATACCGTCCATTCACTCATCTATTTGTCGCTAAATTGAAAGGAAATAAATTTATAAGAAATAGACTCACAATTTGAGTCTTTAAAGGACTATTTTGATACACGAGATGCAATTAAATAAATTGATTATGATTTACTTTAGATGTTATCTCAACTGGTAACCAATACCCATAAGTCAATGGAAAGATTTTTTATATCAATAACAAATAAATATTTATTTATTGAATCACGAAACTAGATAAAACTATTACTAGGAAGATTATTATGAATTAAATATATATTATACAACTGCTTAAATAAAATTTCATTAAAAGCCTATATAAATAATTTATCCTAATTGAATTGGTTTGTAAGTCACTTCTCTTAATTAATAATTAACATTTATTAAACAAAACCAAAATAATTATGATTATCTTAATTATGTAAAAGTGTTAGGATGTCATTTATAGGGCCTAGTAAAAATATCTGCCCAAAGGATACCAAATCAACACATTGGGATATTCATTATAATCTTTTATACTACGTGCTATAGTCATAAAGCTTTAAAATGTTGCTTGTTTAGTCATACAAATATATGATTTCATGTTTTGGAGTCGGTGGTGGTGGAGATGTGAAGGGAGACCTGTTTGCCATTAATAAAGAAGGTGTCGGGAATCCATATCTTTTTGGCGAACTCTGCCCCCAGTATTAGCTGCGATACAGTCGTCGAGTTGTATGTAAGCCTCTCATCGGTCCAGAGCTGACGGATATAGAAGTCTAGAGTGTAATCCTAGGCCAACACAACACATCGCAAACAAAAGCAAAAAGTTTTTGTCACTTAAAATAATTTGTTTTTATTTAAATCAGAAGTCGGCTATATTTATGAACAAGCTAAATTCTTACCATCATCACTTCAGACACGGCGCTTATATCGTTTATATACATTGTTATGTTTACGCCTACAGGCGCTCCTGTAAAATATAAAATTATATATTAAACAATTATTTACAGTAAATTATTAATTTAATTTATTTTTCCTGTTATTATATAAATTAAATTACTTTTAAATCTATTTTAACTTATTATGTAGGAAATTCTATACATCATGTCTATAATAATAATTTGTAAACAAACTAAGATTTGTATTGTTTAATGTGTTTATAAAAGAGCATATTTAGCAGATAATTAATTTAAAAATTAATCGACCTTGGCGACTACTATAATTATACTGTTATCAAAAAAGTAATATATGAATTTTCATATTAATAAATATTTTCCTAATAAAATTTAAGCACATTATGCACAATGAATAGAAATGACTATATTTACTAATTTTCCACACCGCTTGGCAACACTATTATAGTAAGAAAACTGAAAAATATTTTCTTGTTTTATATGACATTTTTACACAATTCTAATAAAATTCATTGTGACAAATATTTTTTTTAAAAAGACTAAATGTAAACATTAAACGACAATTTGCTACATTTACAGAGCAATTCACTTTTGAATAGTATTTACTATTTTTATTTTTAAAATCAAATCCAATATCGAGAAAATAAATCAAAACAAAGTGTTAATGAAATATCTAGACGTTGGAAGTGTTGTCATATATTAATGCAACCACTTGTCTGACAATGGACTCGAGATTTAATAACAAATGCAATAAATTATATGCTAGGTGCAATGATGCCATTGAGTGCATACCTCCATAATTGGGTCGTATATTCTTATCGTATCCATTGTTTGTTAACTTATGAAGTATTTGCGAGACGTCTGAAACTGTTTTACTTAAATAAATCAAAACATAGACAGAATTGAAACAAAATCTCTTTTTCAAAATAAATTCACTCACTCCCATTTAAAAACAATCCCTTATAAAAACAATATAAATAATTTATATCATGATAAAAAAAACATACGGAATATTTGCCACACAAACAGTTGACATAAAAGGTATATATAAATAGAAAATTCTTAATACTTTCATTGAATAATTCATTTCTTGTATTATAAAAAATTTAAAAACACATAAATATCACAGAATTTTGTCGAAAGAATAATATCCTTTAAAATTCTTATTAACGCATAATTAATCGTTCACTACATTAAGAAATAATATTATTATTATGATTTACTAGTCAAACAAAATGCACTGTATTTTTACTAATGAATTAATTAATGTATGTGTCGTTTGCTTTGAAAGGATGTGTCGTTTTGAATGAAAGTCAGTAATGAAATTAATTTTCACGATTACTTCACTAATTCAAACACTAATGGTTTTATAGACCTAAGATTTTCTAATCATAAAAAACAGGTTTTTTACATAATGTCTGAAAAATTAATAACAATCATTGAATTGAAGAAAGTAATTTAATATAAAAATTTTTATAATAAAATTCTGGAAATTCCTGGAAAATATTTTCTAAAAGATTTGTTACTTTTATGAATTTGTAAAAATATCTAAAAGTTCATTGTTAATTATATAATATATTGAAGTATAATATTTTATTTCAATAAGTATTATTCCATTATACTGTAGTTGATTTCATTGACTATATTTTAGAAAATATATAATAGGTTTCGTATGAATCCGAATAATCTTTTACCAATTTAAATATAAAATGGATTTATTTTATTGTGAATTATTATTCATGTGCATATTAAATAAAGTTACAGAATTTTATTCTTGAATATAAAATATGACTATAATTACTCTGACCTTAGAAATAGCTAAACGATTGAAAATATTTTTGTATTTTTATATTTGATTGTGTTTGATGCTCAATTCAAATTAAATTTATGATGATAAATTTAGTTTTGATAATATTTGGTCACAATATGTTTAAGAGTCAAATTCTAATTAATAATATTTGTGACAGTGTTAAGTAAACTACAGTAACATATTGTTTATTTTATGCCAAAACCAATAATAATAATTATATCATTAAATTTGATAATCTCGGGATTTAGTTAATTGTCTAGTTAATTAGTTCATCAATTATATAATACTAAATAATCTTTTAATTACAAACTTATAGTTTTCTGATTCTGTGAATTTATTTGTTAATTGAAAAATTCATACAACTAATACTAGTGTGAAAATAATTACTGAATAACAGTTGATATATTACAAACAATTTTTAATTGAATATACAGTATTATCTAAATACTGTAAAGATAATGTATGATACAATTTTTGAATATTTTTAATTATAATAAGTTCAGAATATAAATATATTAAATAATGAAACCAATTGCTAAGTTATTATATAAATTCTACAATTACAATAACAATATCCTTTATTATTATAATTATTTTAAACTTTTTAATATATTGTTTAAACTGTGAACAAATGTTTATCTGATATGAAAGTATTCGGTAATATGTTTTTAATTTATGACATTTATGACAATACTCAGATACGATATTTTGTTTACTTAAAAATATTAAAAAATAAATAATTAATTAGCAAGGAATTTGGTCTTTTATGTAATTAAACAGTCAAACAGACACAGAGAAAATATATAATAATTGAATTGAATGGTGAACATTTTTAATTATAACAGATTTATTGCTACAACTTATTATTGAGAGATTAAAATAGATGTAAATTTAATGAGTTGTGACTTAACAGCAAATATTATTCACAATATTATTCCATTCATTCAATTCTGTAATAGGATTCTGATTATAGTTTATTTTATTTGCATTCAATAATAAATCCTTTTATTTAATAAAAACAACTTCAGCCTTATAATTAATCCCTAATTAAAAGGAAATTATTTTTTCTAATTTAATGGACACATTAAAAATAACACTCAATTATCATATGTGTTTATCAAAAACTGTTTACAGTATAAAGTAATATCAATTTTGTATAAACTACAGTAACAGACAGTATATAAAGTAAAATCATGTGAATTAATTATAGACAGTGTATTATTCTAGACTGATTTATTGTTATTCACAAATATATGATTTCCTAATTTTAATATTAATTAAGTGTTTATTATTAACAATAGTAGACATATAGTACAGTATGATTTCCGGTGATGTCACAATGCAATTGAATAAAACTTTATATCTTACCAAATTCATAACAATATGGTATTTTAAATGATTCTGGGTGTATGAATTAAAAATATATAATATTTTTATTTTTATGATTTTATTTTATTTTATAAAATATTAAAAACTAGCAGTGCAAATAATATTTGATTGCTAAATAAAGTATTAAAATTAGACAAAACTTTTTATATTAAATAGTTAACTAGATCAGCACATTAGACACAGGTTTTATAACACATAATTCATTTATAAGTAATAAATTACATTTTGATTGAAGTCTTAAAAATGAATACGAAAAGTGCAAAACAAGAATAAAATGAAATAAATATAAGATTATATTAAAATGATTTGAATATAAAGTGGTACTTTATTGCAAAATCTTATGAATAAATACAACATTTTTCATATGATATATTTATATAACATTCATTCATGAATTAGATTTAAAATATATCCAAAATTCCGAAACATTGAAAATAATACACAATTCTGTGCTATAAATCTGTTAAATAATATTGTATTGCTTTTCAAATGGATTTCTTATATATTCACAACAAAAATAAATTTGATTTTTATTTTCAAATTCTTCCCAAAAATAAAATTGAATTTTAAAAATATTTATGAAAAACATTTTTATTATAAGTTTATAATGGTATAATAATAATACTGGTAAAAAAGTCCATTAAATAATATAAGTTTTAACGAATAAATATTTTATATTTATGTTGAGAAAATATTATTTAAATAAAACTTTATGGCTATCATAGGAATATTCTATATCATATAAAAATTACTTCAGAATTAACATCTTATTATCAATATATCTGTCCAAAGGATACCAAATCAACACATTGGGATATTCATTATAATCTTTTATACTACGTGCTGTAGTCATAAAGCTTTAAAATGTTAAACATACTGTATTATTTTCAACATGAAATCATATATTTGTATGACTAAACAAGCAACATTTTAAAGCTTTATGACTATAGCACGTA